CAAACTTGAAAAAATGTAAAGAATATAAATCTTTAAAAGTTTTCACCAAAAAGTCCTCTCACAATTACCAAGTTGGTACAAAGGTCCATTATTACTGTTATTTACCAGCTTATTATTGAGTGACTATGATACGCTCACCATGAACCAAGTGGATAAGTTACACTAAAGTACTTCTTTGTCATGCTTAGTTTAACAGCCTTTTCTGCTTGAACCCAATATTAGATCAACATTTAGTAAAACAATTAGTGTACTAACATGCTGTTAAAAAAGTTTCGAAGAATTATTGAAAAATGCCCCATTACAGAATAAAGGTAAAATATATTTTTATGGGTAAGTTTTATATTGTCTATCTCTTTAAAATCTCCCTTTTTGTTTGAACTTTGCTGGATAAATGGTCAGTTTTGCATGTGTCAATGGCCTCACAATCTCCTTTGTATTACAGTCTGCAGTTGATAAGAACCTCCATAAAGTACAGTATGTCGTTGCCATGTTGCTTGCATGCCGTGTCGGACAAGTTATCTTATGCTTATCTTAGGAATACTAAACATGCTGCTGCCTTCCAAAAGCTGAGAGGAAACACCGGCATGGGTGAGAGTTGAAAGGATAGAAGAAACCAAAGTGCTCACTTAGTGGGAGATAACAAAACACTCCAAAAGGCCTTTTACAAAACAGGAACCAAATGTTGATTCTTAATATTACTCAACAACCAAGCTACGTTGTTAGAGTTAAAGATCCATGAAAGAGTCAGCACCGCAATAAATAAGATGCTGATGTTAGGTTAGTTAGCAGGTTAAGGTGACCAACAAGCCACATAGACAATGACCAAAGGGACTCTTTGTAATATGAGCATAGCACTCAGCCTATACCCTAAATTCTGACAGTATCCAAGTCTTTTTAAGTGACTTGTCTGGTGCTATGTGAATGATCCACCTCCTAGTGAAACTCAACACTATAATGCGTTCATCGGTGCTGTTTCCCCACTGATTTGGAAAAATAGGCACAAAACAGGCTTTTTTTTAACTAGAAGTTTTTCACAGAAATTTGATTTTACTGGATATAAAACCTTATCACCTCTTTAACACGAAGCATAAAAAGTGAAAATAGAAAAACAAAAAGGTTGCTGACATTGGATCTTATTGAAATCAGATAAGAGAAATGTGAAAACAATGGTGTACAATTCAGTCTAAGACGAATTGGACACAGCTGAACTTTGATGCATACTTTACATGTTTATGGAATAGCCTATTAAAGTACAGAAGAGCTTTAAAGGTACACTATGCAACCGGTGTTGATTTTCCAGTGAGGCTCCCTCCAGAGGGCGAAAGTAAAAGTGCACTGTCGTAAATATGCTCAGCTGTTCTCCTGGTTTCTCCGTCAAGCCAGGCGCGGTTGTTTTGAGCTTAGCAGCGAATGACTAACGCTGCGTTCACACTGGACGTAGCTGGCGCGACAGAAGCAGCGAGTTTACATGCAAAGTCAATGGTTGACGCGCGTCAAGGCGCAGCAAAAGGTCCCGCGGCGCGTTTTGAGCACCAGGCGCAGCACGTCTGAGCAGCTGAAGCAGCGCGTCGGGTGCGTTTAACGCAGGGAGAGAGACACAGCGCTGATGATCACTCCTCTTAAACAGTTTATTGACGCCTAAATTAACTTAAAATGCAGAAATCTGCCGGCAGAATATGCAGTTTGGATTATTTAGATGAAAACCACCTACCAGCTGCCGCGGTGAACCGCTGCTGATGAAGGGATCCATACTGTCGGCGCCCCGCTGGTATGTGGGGGTCTGAGCGGCTCCGACAGAAAAAATATGGAAGGCAGGATAATAATCTGAATGAACTGACGGCACTGATTACGTTTTCAGGTGGATTTTCTCACTTAAACACATATTAAAACTACTTTATTCCCACTGATCACAGCAAATATAGCTGCAAGGCAGAGAAAGGATAGTGAAGCTCCGCCCAACGCGCCTCAGACACACTTTTGCACCGCGCAGCCAGAGCAGCAAAGCTGCTTCAGCCACGCGTCAGAACTAACTGGTACAAGCAGCAAAAAGGAAGCAGCAGACGCGATTTTGCTGCTTTTGCTGCGTGAACGTAGCATAACTGCACAAAGATTGCCACTGTGCTAGCAACGAGAATGCTTTTAACTGGGGGCGTGTAGCAGTTCTCGCCGTAAAGCAAGACTGACTCTCGCGAGACTTCTGAGCCTGTGGGTGCGGGTCGGTGCTCCTGCAATTGCAAGTGCAGTATTTCCCCCACAGACCACCAGGGCGGCCGAGAATACCTTTGTTCAACCTGAAATGACTCATTTAGTCATCCATAACGTTATGGAACACATTAATTAACTGAAAAATGTTGCATAGTGTCCCTTTAAACACTTTTCCATGTGCAACATAAAAAGACATGTAATTTGTATCCAAACCAAATGTTTGGACTTTGACAGTTTTTTTCTCTCTGAAATTTTCTGGCAATAATTTACCCTTATTTTTAGATTGTTGTACAGGCTTAGCATATAATTTAAAATGGAAATAAAATAATTTAAAAGCAAACTTGAAGGCAACTTCACCTCATATAAATGTCTGTCCTTTAAACAGTTTAGCAACAGTATTCATTTCACTTAAAATTTTAAGTGACAAACAACATTCATTTGCAATGGGATTTTAGGTGACAGTTAACTATAAAGTATTGTGTTTTTATAAAGTCGAAGAAAAATTATAAAAAAAGCACCAAGCAATCTGAATCCAAATTCCTCCAGCTGCTTATTATTTAATAGAATGCACCTGTGAAATTATTTTTGTCAGTATAAATGCAGCTTGACTGGGTTTATCAAAAATAGCAGTGGTGTCAAAAGGTTCTACTCATATAGAAGTATAATTCCTAGTGTTTAAAAACCCTTTTGTAGAAGTTTCAACTCAAGCTTTTCAGTTAAGTAAAAAGGGTATAGTACCATTTTTAAAACTACTTAAAGTATAAAAGTAAAAGTACTTCAGTAAAAAATGTTAAGATCTGATGCCACACTGCACTACCCAATTGAAGGAACATCTTTCTACAATTCTTGATGATATTTACCTTAGACTTAATTTTCTTAGTTTTAAAACTAGTGGAAACAGTGTTAAATTTATCTTTGCATTATCTTGAAAATAAATTTATTTTGGTATGTGGGGAAGAACAAGTTGCTGCAGCACCGAGTCAACCATGAAAAAGTTAATAAATACAAGCAGGCCATGATAAAAATGAGCTTAAATGAAAACAAGCGAAAGTATACCTTTTTAAGATATAAGGAGTAGAAAGGAGAGATAATTGCAGAAAAAAATCTAAAGAGTATAAGTAAAAAAGTTGTCTAAAAAATAATTACTAAACTAAAGTAAAGGTAACAAAGTATTTGTACTTTGTTGATTGACACCAGTGGAAAATATTAATAAAAAAAAAAAACAGCAGACACAGGAGAGCTATGAAGAAGAGAATGCAGAGTTCAAGCAAACTTATAAACAACAAAACAATATTGTTCACCCCACAATCTGAAAATGGAAAGTGTAGGGCAGAACTGCACACCTACCGAACGTAGATAATGGATAACGAATGCAGTCAGTCACATGTTAAGTACGGGTATTTGTATGCATGAATATGTTACTGAGTTTTAAAGAAGACACTGCCAAATAATGGTGCAAAAATAAAAAAATTTTTTTTTCAGCTTTTCTATTAGTGTCTCCTGTGCAAAGATTGCTATTCATATGTAATTTAGATGCAGCAACAGAAACAGAAAAAACTGTTTTAATGTATCGTTGGCCTGAGCAAACGGCCTGAAATCAAACTTTTGGGCCTCCATACAAAATGCTATGTTGTAAAAACCGAACACTGCACTTCATTCTGATCACCATCCCCTAAGTACCATGCCATAAAATAATGAGGAGATTGATGGAGCTAGATACAGTGAAGTTGCAGAACAAAACCTGTAAGCAGGAAACTTGAGAGACTTTGTGGAAGTTTAACTTGTAGAAGAACATAATACTAAATATACAAGTTGTTTAAGTCACTCTGATGAAAGCAAAAAGATTTCCACTCAATCTAATTTTAAATTTGTAGAACAACTTGGAAGTTCATGTTAACATATGCTTTTCATAAAATCGGAATGAGGTTAAGGTGTTTTGCAAAATGGAACAGAGAAAAACAGTCAGTCTCTAGGAGTGAAAAAGTGGTAGGCACAAACAAAGCCACAACTTCAAGTACGTTAAGCAAAGAAATGATCATAACTTCAAAGTAGCTATGGAGAATAAGAGAAACACTTCTCCAAGTATGCTCCAAATGACTCCAGTAAGCTTTATTAATAGAACATCTGAATCTCTAGTGCTTATCTGCAAAGCAACACCCTGCCTTGGTCCAATGTTTCCTCAATATACAGGATTATAGTTATCAGGGACACAATAAGCTCCATCCAGTTTCCTTTTCCAAATTTCGACCAAGCTGTCATGCAGAGGAGGAAAAACAAAAATGGATACTTTTCTCCTGAACAAGTCAAAGAAGTATTATTTGTGTATTTAGGTGTAATCCTTCAGGCTGTGGATCCAGTCATTACTCTACATTAGTTTTTGCCCAATGCCCATAATAGTAAGTGCATGAGTACCAAATTCGTGAAACTATATAAAAAAATGCTGCAATGCTGCAATAGCTACGATGCTGCAATAATGTTATTAATGGAAGAAAGCAGATTGTTTGGATATCATATCCCCATGATAATTAAATCCAAATGTTTTGAGAAGAAAGCTTATCCAGTACATGACTGCTGGCTGTAATACGGATGGATTGATTCAGTGCATGTAAATAAACACGGATAACAGGGTTTGTACACGATTGAAAGCAAACACTAGTTTTTTTTTCGTATTAGAACACAAAGGGAAAATTTGTAAACTATGGAGGAAAAAGCAACATGTTTTTCACTGACCTCAGTTTATGCCGTGTTATAAGCAGAGCTTTAAATTTGTACGTAAGCCTCAGAGTTGCACTCACCAGCACATGGAGTTCAGACAGCTGCGTTCCATAAACAGTAATTGGAATCACTCGCTGCAATTTGCTTCACTACTGTCGGCTCCATCTACACTTTAGATCCATGATTATTCAAAGATTTCATGTCTAATTTCCTGCACAATGATTACCCATAGGGAAACACAGAGCGTCCTCACACTTGCCTTCATTTCCAACTACTGGAAAGGATGCAAAGCACACGGCTCGCTGCCACCACGCTGGTTTGCATAATGCAGATCTGACAGTCTGTTCCTTCCTGCTGCAATCATCAGTGTCAGTGGCAATAACTGCATGACTCCCAAATTACAGATAATGACATACTGAGAGGCTGGAGCATTTCTATGTGGAGTGTGGATTTGCTCCAGGTAATCAGCTTCCTCCATGGCTAAGGTTGATTGGTGACTCTGAAATGCATGGCTGTCTGTAACCCTTTTAAGATACACTTCAAACACATGGCTTTTTCTGTGACATCATGGGGAATTCAGAAGAAATTAGCCATCAGACATCTCCTGAAAAGTGCCAAGTCCAGCCATAATGCTGTTCATGAATGGTATGATGCCAGAGCCTCATACCATAGAGCAGCTTAGATTGAGCAGCTTATATTGCTAATAGGTATAATAGATGTGAAATGTGTTCCTACTCCTCAGGATAGACTGATTAAGCCTCAAAATGAAATGATCATGCCTTTAGAAGAACCATGTTTTCAAAGTACTAAATTAGGGATGTACCAAAAATTCTGAATTTGACAGAAAAGAACATTTTGGTTCGTTGGCGGAGAGACATTTAACATCCAAACACCACAGCCAGTATGCAGAAACATTGTCTAGCATGCAACAAAAAGGACTGAAGCAATAGTGCGTAGGCGACCGAGCAAAGTTTCAGAGTTTAGACAAGATTTGGCAGTGTGTGACTTTAAACGCTGGACATTCGTCTCACTTTCAGGTCAGTGGCACAAAAATAAAGTTATAGATATAAACCTATTACCATTCTAAATAAGAGAAGAATACGATACGGAAAAGAAAAATGACACCAAACATGCCCCCTCCGGACGTGCTTGAAAAGCCAAGAACGTTTCCCAGGGATTCTGCTAAAGCACAGAGCATAATAAGGTCTACACTGACCTCTTTACATTGGCTGCCTGTCTTTTACCGAATAGAATTTAAGATTCTTTTATTAACTTATAAGGTCTTAAATTGATTAGCTCATCCATATCTTAGAGACCTTTTAAAATTCCAGTCTGTGTCGAGAAGTCTACGTTCAAATAATCAACTATTACTGACAGTTCTTACTGACATTACTCGACTTAAGAGGAAAGGAGATCGGGCTTTCTCTGTTGTTGCTCCAATTCTGTGGAACAATTTACCTCTTCAAATTAAATCTTCCCACTGCCGGGATCAATTTAAAGGACTTCTTAAAAATTATTTTTATTCTTCGGCTTTTAGTTGATGCAGTGTTTCACATTCTGTTTTGTTAATTGGTGTTGTTGTCTTTCCTGTAAAGCACTTTGGTGCAGTTTTATACCTGTTTTTAAAGTGCTATATAAATAAATTTGACATTGACATTTGACAACAAGAAATTTCAGAGGTAAATATATTCTTTGGCATAAATTAGTAACTTTCTTTAATCTTGCAATGCTGTTATGGTGTGCACACTAGATCAGAAGCATTTTCTCCTAGTATACACTCAAATATCTTTGTTATTATTTTCTAGGTTTACTAGAAGCAAAACAGGGGCAGAGAAAGCTAGCAGGCTACAAACAAAAGCTAACGAAGACGCCTGGTCTCCACCGCTGGTCTTCCGTGCCACACGATGCGGACTGTTTGTTGACATTTGTGACAGTGCTTCAGCTCTTGTGGCCACTAGGGGCGCTACAGTTCTAGTGTAGTTCAGTACAGGTCTAGAGCCCCTAGTGGCCAAAAGCAACACCGTGTGCCTTGAAGGTTATCACTCATTGAAGATACTATGGTTTTAATATTATACATAATAATTTTGTGATAGTATTTTTAAATTCTTTCATTATTATTATTAATATATGGCATAAATTAGTAACTTTCTTTAATCTTGCATTGCTGTTATGGTGTGCACACATACGAATAATTTAAGGTAATTTCTATTTTATTTCTTTTGTTTGAGTTACCATAGTTGGGACGAGTTGCTTTAATGAGGAGCAAAGGCGTGGCAATGGTCTAAGGAGGGTTGAGTCTGGGCACCTGGCTCATCGGGCCCTACAATATATAATTGAATTATGAGGAGGATTTGGGTTTAGTTGGTTAAAATCTGTACTATTTATTGTCAGCCATTTTTCCCCTGTGTATGTTTTTTGATTTGGCCAAACAGCTATATGAGTTGCTCTCATTTGTCATTGCATTAGGTCAGTTTACCTCAATTGCTTTGTTTGTTAAATAAAATGTTGAGTATTTTCAGATTAGTTGACCCCTTTTATATCCTGACTTTTTTTCTTTTTTGCCATTTTGTTCATTTTTGTGTCATTTTTACTTCCTTTTCTCCTTTTCCCTTATGGTTTGGTCCCTGATGCTGAAACTAAGGATACGTTCACACCACAGCCTAAAGTGACCCAAATCCGATTTTTTTGCCCATATGCGACCTGGATCTGATCTTTTCATGGCAGTCTGAACAACACAGATCCAATTTTTTTCAATTAGACCCAGGCCACTTGGCTATGTGGTCCTGAATCCGATACGAATCTGATCTTTTTAAATGTGACCTGTGTCTGAACGTCATTAATACCCGACAAAGGTCACTATTATGCGGCAAGAAAAACAACAACCATGGCAGATGATGATGCGGAGAGCAGTATTTATGTTTAAAGTTATTGAAAAGATTGAGTTTTTATCGTTGGAAAAGACTACTAGATGCACGCCGGCACTACCATCCATGTTTACTTCCGGAAAAAAGAGCACGCTGGCCTGTGACGTCATTGCATCCTCTTCTGTGCATGCGGGACACTTGCGTTGTATGACTGCAGTTCACACAGGAGATCACATACAAGTCGCATATATTTAGAAATATGAACGGCAACGCAAAAGCAGTGTGAACGTAGCCTAAAACCTTTTTGAACATTTGAGTTCTGATCTGTAGGCCCGCTTCCTTTCAAATCAACAGTTTCAATCAAATTCACCAAATTTATAAGGACTCTAAGCCAAAGTGGAAGGGCATTAGCAGTCACCAGCATAGTGCTAGCACTAAGGAAGGAGAGAAAACAAAGCACAATGCTTCCGATCTATCATAATTTTTAGAATAGGGAGCCAACAATCCTTTGCATGACGGGATGTATAGGCAGTCACCTCACAATATTTAATAAGATTATATTTATTATTTATGTGTATTGAGTGTGACATACATTATGTACCTTTACATGTTTTAGGTTTTATAATGGAGACCTTCAGCCGTGCAGTGGTTTAACTTCTTTTGTGGCCATGCATCTGTGTTTCTGTTGCATGACATCCGTAAAACTTAAGCAAAACGTACAGGAGAGGTGGTGGGAACAGGAGGTGGTAGCTACAATATGCGGTATTTGGACTGAGGGAAGATAATGCTTCAACATAAGTTGGTCCTCTTCATTTTTTCTTCTGGCAAAAACAAAAGAGGTGATTGGGGAGTGTAAAGATTTAAGAGCAGCTCAATTAATAACTGAATGCCCTTTGAATACAATATGTAAGTGTAGAAAACAAAACAAGACTTATCAAATTCTGTATGTTTCCCACCGTTAGAATTAATCTTTTGTTCCATATTACTCCCTAAAATTCTCCTTGCAGGAGTATTGGACTCGTGAAAGCCCTATGCTTCTTAGATAAGCTTAGAGGCTCTTCAGCATGACATTTAACTTCTCGCCCACATCCACGGGTGAACAAAGGGCTAAAGGGCTTTTTGGGGACAAGTCCAGTAAAACATGATCCGTTTTTCTCCAAATTGGGAGTAAAATAATTATATGGTCATTTGAATTTGATGCTATGTAAAACAAAACAAAAAAATTAGCTGGAAAAAAAGATAGTGATGGTTTCTAGGGAAGTTTATCTCTCTAAACTGTTATCAGATTTCCCAATATAGCTATAACTTTTTAATAATCTAAAGGTCACAGAAACATTTTTTTTTGAGAAATTTACCTAAGCATCTATTTAACATATTTTATGGATACAAATTATGTGGCATATTTGAATTCAACCCCCTTTATTCTCAAAAGCTGTTAAAAAAATCAAATACAATTATTTATCCACAGAGGTCCCTTAATCTCAGGATAAACACAGCCGTTGTATTCCATTAGAGGTTTGTTGGTGAGAAGCAGCATGAAGACAGTATAAGAACAGCAGAGAGGTCATGCATTAAGCTGTAAAGTACTTCAAAGCATGTTCTGAAATAATCCTCAAAACATGTATGGATGTTTCACTTTGGTTTGTTCTGGTCCGGACATACCAAAGTGGAAGATTCGTACATAATTTGGTATTTAGTGAGAAACCTCTGCAACCTGGAAACATGGCAATTGTGAAACAGGCTGGCAATAGAATCATGCTGTCATTATTCCTTCTTTCCACAGAGCCTAGAGTCTTAACCCAGAGTAGCTATGATTATAAATAAAAGCCCAGACCTAAATCCAAGACAAAATATGGCTCAATCCTTAAAGATTGTGCTCACAGACGATATTTGCCCTTTATGACAGAGTTTGAGCTCTTTTGCTGAAAAGAATGAATAAAAATATTAGTTTCCAGATTCCAAAAAAACAAGTACAGTATGAAGCAATTCGCTTCCTTCCAGAAAGCCTACTCAATTAAAAATGTCTGGAGTAACATGGCACTCCAAGCTTTATAGAGTAGCCCAACAAAAGTATGATGTTATGGTTTAGAAAACATTCAAGTTGAACCGAAAACAGGTCCAACCCTTTGTAATGGGAAGTCCTTTAGGTTGATGAACCCGAATCTAGCCCATTCCTCTGTAAGGGGTGTTGTTAGGGTTGTTGTTTGTCTGGATAAACAGGCCCGATGCTTTGATCACCTGCATGCAAAGGCGTAAATATCAGTAAGCAGAGACAGCATTTGCTTAGGGGCCCACGACCTCTTAGGGCCCCATCACTGACACCTGATAGGCCCCCTACACAATTGTAGACTAAGACGTCTATTTGCAGATGTAATGGTGCGAAA